GCTGGACTGAGCTCTGGAGACATGCTAGGCAAATCCAGAGGGAGCCTAAACAGTGGAACCTTTGCAGTTGTATCACTGGGTTGATGAGAGGGCCTTGCAGTCATAACCTGTTTTGCTGCTATCAGAGACTGAGAATTTACGAATTTGATACTTGACTGGCAACCCATATCACTGCATACAGACTTTACCAGGACTGTATTTATGTGCTCCACCATAAAGTTCTGGGCCCCAATCTTAGCTGGCTGAAGATCCAGGGCATAGGGCTGTCTCTTTAAATAAGATTCCCTGTAAGAAATCCATTTACTACCCATGGTAAGGAGGCAGCACTGCTATAGATCAGGGCCTTAGCATACACAAAAGAAAAGAGGCAATCAGCACCACTAAACCAGGCCCAACCAGCTATGGGCTCAAAACAGTGTTGTCTACATCAGAAACTATCTAATGAGACTGGACAAGCAATTATAAAAAAAAAAACAATGCAGAAAGAACATACCCCAGAAGCCCATCAAAGTCCTAATAAAAATAATAAAGTCATTAATAGTAGTGTCTACAGTGAGTTAACAATTTAGTTACTTACTGTGGACACTATTATTACTAATTTTATTATTTATATTAGGACCTTCGGCTTCCTGGGTATGCTCTTTCTGCACTGTTTTTTTTTTTGTCCTAGCATAGCAATTAGAGATGAGCGAATCGAACCAGGCGAAGTGGAATTCGTTTTGAATTTCAGGAAAAATTTGATTCGTGCCGAATCCAAATATTAGCCAACTTCGGATGCACGAATCGAATTTTCCCCGATCGTCCGATTTTCATCCCTTCTACAGCCGGCAAAAAGTGTCCCTGCAGAGCTCCGCTATTTCTGACAGTTCTCTGACAGTTCCTTCACATTTACAGCGGTTGAAACATTGTATCTATTTGTTTCCATTTAGGATACAGATGTTTTTATTCGGAAACAAATAGATACAATGTTTCAACCGCTGTAAATGTGAAGGAACTGTCAGAGAACTGTCAGAAATAGCGGAGCTCTGCAGATACACTTTTTGCCGGCTTGGAATTCTTCTTATTTTCATCCTACTTCTTCTTCTTCATCCTCAATCCTCATCCTCAGAAGAAGAAGAAGAGGAAGAGGATGAGGATGAGGATGAAGAAGAAGAAGAAGAAGAAGTAGGATGAAAATAAGAAGAATTCCAAGCCGGCAAAAAAGTGTTTCTGCAGAGCTCCGCTATTTCTGACAGTTCTCTGACAGTTCATTCACATTTACAGCGGTTGAAACTTTGTAACTATTTGTTTCCATTTATGGAAACAAATAGATACAATGTTTCAACCGCTGTAAATGTGAATGAACTGTCAGAGAACTGTCAGAAATATTCCCGCTATTTCTGACAGTTCTCTGACAGTTCATTCACATTTACAGCGGTTGAAACATTGTATCTATTTGTTTCCATAAATGGAAACAAATAGATACAAAGTTTCAACTGCTGTAAATGTGAATGAACTGTCAAGAACTGTCAGAAATAGCGGAGCTCTGCAGAAACACTTTTTAGCCGGCTTGGAATTCTTCTTATTTTCATCCTACTTCTTCTTCTTCTTCTTCTTCTTCTTCTTCATCCTCATCCTCATCCTCTTCCTCTTCTTCTTCTTCTGAGGATGAGGATGAGGATGAAGAAAGAAGAAGAAGAAGAAGAAGTAGGATGAAAATAAGAAGAATTCAAGCCGGCAAAAAGTGCTCCGCTATTTCTGACAGTTCTCTGACAGTTCCTTCTTCACATTTACAGCGGTTGAAACATTGTATCTATTTGTTTCCGAATAAAAACATCTGTAATCCTAAATGGAAACAAATAGATACAATGTTTCAACCGCTGTAAATGTGAATGAACTGTCAGAGAACTGTCAGAAATAGCGGAATTTCTGACAGTTCTCTGACAGTTCATTCACATTTACAGCGGTTGAAACATTGTATCTATTTGTTTCCATAAATGGAAACAAATAGATACAATGTTTCAACCGCTGTAAATGTGAATGAACTTTCAGAGAACTGTCAGAAATAGCGGAGCTCTGCAGATACACTTTTTGCCGGCTTGGAATTCTCCTTCTTCTCATCCTTCTTCTTCTTCTCATCCTTCTTCTTCTTCTCATCCTTCTTATCTTTCTTCTCATCCTTCTTCTTCTTCTCATCCTTCTTCTTCTTCTCATCCTTCTCCTTCTTATCATCCTTCTTCTTCTTCTCATCCTTCTTCTTCTTCTCATCCTTCTTCTTCTTCTCATCCTCTCCTTCTTCTCCATCCTTCTTCTTCTCATCCTTCTTCTTCTTCTCATCCTTCTCATCCTTCTTCTCATCCTTCCTCTTCTTCTCATCCTTCTTCTCATCCTTCTCCTTCTTCTCATCCTTCTCCTTCTTCTCATCTTCTCCTTCTTCTCATCCTTCTCCTTCTTCTCATCCTTCTCCTTCTCCTTCTTCCTCATCCTTCTCCTTCTTCTCATCCTTCTCCTTCTTCTCATCCTTCTCCTTCTTCTCATCCTTCTCCTTCTTCTCATCCTTCTCCTTCTCCTTATCCTTCTCCCTTCTCCTTCTTCTTCTCCTTCTCCTTCTCCTTCTTCTCATCCTTCTCCTTCTCCTTCTTCTCATCCTTCTCCTTCTTCTCATCCTTCTCCTTCTCCTTCTTCTCATCCTTCTCCTTCTTCTCATCCTTCTCCTTCTCCTTCCTCTCATCCTTCTCCTTCTCCTTCTTCTCATCCTTCTCCTTCTTCTCATCCTTCTCTTTCTCCTTCTCCTTCTCCTTCCTTCTTCTCTCAAGGGCATTTATATTAAAGGTACAGTGTTCTGCACTAATATAAAGGCTCTCTGAAGCCTAGAAACCCTTTTTATAAGTTAAATTTCGCAGCGAATAAATTCGCATCAAATCAAATTTATTCCACAAATTCGGCGAATCAGCCGAATCGAATTTTTTGAATAATTCGCTCATCTCTAATAGCAATCCCTAACCTGTACTCTAGTAAAATTGTTGCAGGAAAGCTGTCACAACACTGTTTTCCATTAGCTTTAATGTTGCTCGTGCCATTGATTAATGCTGATTGCTAGGTATAGAATAATCTAATAATATATATATCATTATTCAGATTACTACTTCCCCTACAGTACCTTTGAAAAGGTATTCATACTCCTTGAAATTTCATTAAAAAAGATAAAGAGAATAAAGGAAAAATTCTCCTTAAATTCTTTCTTTTCTCCTTCTCCTTTTTCTAATTACTTCAACAACTATCCCTTCCGGACTTAAATCTTCATTCAAAATCGTAAATAACCCCCCCTCCTTCCTCCATTTCCCCCCCGCTCTCCTTATTATCTTAATCCTTCCTCAATTCCTTGGTTTATTGAGATCTTCTAAGGGTGACCAACACAAAGTTAGCACTACATAATTTGTGAAAGAAACCCTGGAAGAAAATATAAGTTAAAGCGGTTTATGCATCAAATAACATTTATTCAAAATTACGACCGACAATTAGCCAGAATCTGATACTCATCCATAACCCTACACCCCCTCAGTAAGTGGAATTGTTGCCTAAAGCTGTCAAAACACTGTGAGCGTACAATTGCTATTTAGGTACACCCCAATAGTAATCCACATTATTGTCCCCGAGATCTACCCCCCTAACATGTAATCTTGAAAATGGTATTCATTCTCCTTAAATTTTCAATTGTCCTTTACAACCAAGTCGTGACATAAACATTATGTGAAACCAAACACAGTCACCTGTGAAGTGGAAGGAAAATGATAAATGGTTTTCAAAATTTTTACAAATAAATACAACTAAAAATTGATCTCAGTATTTAGCCCCCCATTACTCTGCTACCCCTAACTAAAATCTGGTGGAATCAAAACTGCCTTTAGAAGTCCCATAATCAGTTTGGGTAAACAAACCCCTTTGTACATATATCACAGAAAATACAGCTGTTCTGTGATAAGCCCTCATAAACAGTTAGAGAATCCATTAGTGAAAATAAACAGCATCAAAAAGCCAAGGAACATACAGGACAGGTCAGGGATAAAATTTGTGGAGAAGTTTAAAACAGGATTAGGTTATATAAAAAAAATCTTTTTATATCTCGAGGAGCACTGTTCAATCCATCATCTGAAAATGGAAAGAGTATGGCACAACTGCAAACCTACAAAGACATGGCCATCCACCTAAACTGACAAGCCGGGCAAGGAGAGCATTCATCAGAGAAGCAGCCAAAGAGGCAGCCAAGAGCCCATGATAACTCTGGAGGAGCTGCAGAGATCCACAGCTCTGGTGGGAAAATATTAGTCATGCACTCCACAAATCTGGCCTTTATGAAAGATTGGCAAGAAGAAAGCCATAAGAAGTTCCGTTTGATTTTTCAAGAAGCCATGTGGGGACACAGCAAACATGTGGAAGAAGGGGCTCTGGTCAGATGAGACCAAAGTCGGACTTTTTGTTCTAAAAGCAAAACTCTATGTGTGGGGGAAAAACTAACACTGCACATCACCCTGAGCACACCATCTCCACAGAGCTTGAGAGATTCTGCAAAGAAGAATGGGCAGAAATGTCCCTCTCTAGATGTGCAAAGCTGGGAGAGACATCCCCAAAAAATACTTGCAGCTGGAATTGCAACAAAAGGGGGTCCTACAAAGTACTGGAGGTTAATACAAATACTGCCACACTTTTCACAGATTTATTTGTAAAACAATGTGAAAACCATTTTTCATTTTCCTTCCACTTCACAATTATGTGCCACTTTGTGTTGGTCGATCACATCCAATCCCAATAAAATACATTTACGTTTTTGGTTGTAACATGACAAAATGTGGAAAATTTCAAGCTGGGTGAATACTTTTTCAAGGCACTGTAGCAACTCTTTTGTCTAGAGCAGAGTTTTCAAAACTTTCTAAGCAAAGGGCCAGTTTAATGTCCTGCAAACTTTAGAGGGCTGGAATGTGGTCAGAGGGAGTAAAAAAATGTCCTGGTATCAGTGGAAGTAGTGTCCCCTCTTTGGTAGTAAGGAGAAGATTAGTGTCCCATTGTTGGTATCAGTGGAAGGAATAAGAGCCCAATCTTTGGTATTAGGGGGAAAAATAGTGCCCATTGTTGGTGTCAGTGGGAGGAATAGTGTCCCATTGTTGGTGTCAGTGGGAGGAATAGTGCTCCATCATTGGTGTCAGTGGGGGAATAGTGCCCCATCATTGATATTAGTGGGAAAAATAGTGTTCCATCATTGATATCAGTGGTAGGAATAGTGCTCCATCGTTGGTGTCAGTAGAAGGAATAGTGCCCCATCTTTGATGTTAGTGGGAAGAATAGTGCCCCATCATTGGTATCAGTGGGAGGAATAGTGCCCCATCATTGGTATCAGTGGGAGGAATAGTTTCCCCATCATTGGTGTCAGTGGGAGGAATAGTGCCCCATCATTGGTGTCAGTGGGAGGAATAGTGCCCCATCATTGGTATCAGTGGGAGGAATAGTGCCCCATCATTGGTGTCAGTGGGAGGAATAGTGCCCCATCATTGGTGTCAGTGGGAGGAATAGTGCCCCATCATTGGTATCAGTGGGAAGAATAGTGCCCCATCATTGGTATCAGTTGGAAGAATAGTGCTCCATCATTGGTGTCAGCGACAAGAACCAAGCATTGCTGTTAATGACAGTGGGTGGAATAATGCCCAAAGGGCCAGATAAAAGCAAACAAAGGGCTGTGTCTGGCCCCTGAGCCGCACTTTGGAGACCCCTGATCTAGAAAATTATGTTAGGTACTGTATATGTTCTACTTGTTTCTATATGTACACACATTGCCTGGTGTCCATTTCCTGATACTGAATTATAGTGTGTCTAGAGTATTTATTTTTTTTGTGCTCTCAGCAGCAAAGCAGTCTCTCTTTGCCTAACTTGGTGTGTCAAAGGACCCAAGCTTGTCTACAGAGTCGAGGCAAAAAAACAGAAAAACCAAACTACCCAGTATCTCCTTTGGGGGTAGCGCTACAATAGTATGTTGCAAACGTTTCAAATGTGCATATGTGTACCATGTTAGAGACACATTTGACAACAACTAATATTTTCAAAATGATACGATGAATTTCAAATTCCGTATCTTACTCAGGAAAAAGTGTTCTTTAAACATAAGTTTCACAAGAAAATTATTTCAGATAAGTTATTGATGGCATGTAAAATGTGACCACCTTGTTCATGGTGTTTCTCCTGGGTGTTTTGGAGGAGTACAGGTTGGAGCCCAAGCTAAAACTAAAAGTAGACTAAAGTTGGGCTTCTCTTCCTGGAAAGTTCTACATTAAATGCTAGTATGTAGCCAGTGATCTAACAATGAGAGCATAAAGAGAATTCAGTGGCATGATTAGGTTTCCTTAGTTAGGTCTGTTCCTTTGTACCTTTGTTTCTTCGTACTTGGCCTCTGTGTTTTTCTCTTCATCCAATGGTGGCACTGGGGCTTGACTTGTCCTGGTGACTTTCTCTGAAGAAGGTAAAGTTGGACATAAATGTTGAATAAAATGTAGCACCCTCCTAGGCAACTAGGGGCAGCTAAAATACTAATTGTCAGTCAGAGACTATGTAATAGGCAAAGGGACAAGTTCAGATCAGAGCTGAGAGGCTGTGCAGATCAGCTCTCTGAGATTTCCTCCTGCACTTTGACTTTAGAGAAAGTTCTAGAAGCAGTGGATGGAGTCAAAGAGTGGCTGATCTTCACTCTTGAGGGATCCTGGTCAATCCCCAACAGATGGCTTGGCAGGGGCCAGGACAGTCCTTAAAAGTGGCAGATCCTGCTCAGTCATAGGAGAGTTCGGGTGGAAGATGAGGAAGTGAAGCTGGAGAGCAGGAGCCTGGGAGGGGACCCAGATAGGAGAGGGGCTCACCTATAGGCAGAGGACCTTGGAAGGAGGAAAGCTCAGGACTTCACCACCCCCCAAAAGCAAGGTTCACCTGTGCAGTAGGGAAGGAGCATCCCAGCTAGAACGCCTGGTAGCAGCCACCAACCCACCAGCAGCATAGGAGAAGGGACTGAGTGAGTAGACCTGCACCCTGAGCCAATAAGGGGAAAGAGGCACTCTAGTGGGAAACTGGATTACCTTTTTACCTATTCACATAGAAGTGGCGGGCACTGGATTCCCTGCCCATGGAAACGCCCAGTACAGCTGGATGAAGAGAAGATTCATCAGGGGTCTGGGTGGTACTGTGGGCAATGCTGGCTAGCTCTCCCAGAGAGACTGTTTGCTGTAAAGACTTTTACATAGTTGCTAAGGAGTTTGTCCTCTGTTGCCATTATCTTTGGGCATCCCGTACACCCCTTACTCTATCCAAGTTACAATTCCCTAATAAAATCACAAAAAAAACAAGCTCATAGACTGGTTACTGACTCCCGGATGTAAGTCTATGTGAAAATAAGTGTTGCCTGGCTGTGCAGGACTATAGGGAGACCCAAAACTATTGCAACTTCTAAGCAGTAGTGCTACAAAAAAATAATGCAGAGGAGAAACATGGGATTTATAAGGTGTGATATTGTTAATCAATACATTTACAATAAAAAAATGTAACTGTAAAAAAGTATCCCAAATCTTTATTTACACATCTGCTAAAGGTAAGCTTATAAGTCATTGACACCTTTCTAATACATTTCCACATGATTATTCTTTATATTTAATATAGTTTTTTATGTGTGTATATCCATACATATTAGTTCAATGTCTGCAAAAGAGAAAATTTACTTTATCTTTACAATGTTATGTTTATATATAGGATGATTGGCCACTGAGACACCTTTGGCAAGAAGAATCTGCTTCTTCAGACAGATATTGGAAATGGTCATAAATAATGTCTTCCATGGACTCTATAAAGCACAATGAAATTCCCCACTCCCTCTGTGACGGCAAGAGAAAAAAAGAGTATATCCTTTCAGTATGTTGTATCCTTTAGGCTCCGTTCACTACTAGGTATTTTGTACTGCGAGCAGAATCACCGTAATTCTGCCCGCAATCCCAAAACGCTCCCCAAAATTGACAAAATGTTGCCATGCTTGTTCAGGTGCCATTTTTAATGGCACCTAAACATGGGTGTGATGCTGCCGTGATTGTCAAGCAATAAGTCACGCTGCAATCATGCTGCAGTTGCAGCTAAAAGCATCATGTGAAGCGTGCCACTGAAAAAGGAGCAAGAGCTTGTTTTGGCGACCAGCTTCACGCAATGCAGATTGCAGCGATTTGTCAAATGACAATCGCGGTAGAATTGCACCCACATTTAGGTGCCATTGAAAGTGAATAGAACTTGAACAAATGTGGTGTGATTTGTCAGTTTTGCAGAGTGTTTTGGGATTGTGGGCAGAACTGCAGCAATTCTACCCATGATATAAAATGCCTAGATGTGAAAGGAGCTTTAATGAAAAAGTTTAGCTACCAAAGGTCACTCCCCAATTGTTTTTATATAAGGTAATAATAAATTATAAGGGAATAGTATCTAAAGATTCCATTCATTCTGAGCCAGTATGTGAATGATTGCACTGTTTGTAGTTGCATGGAAGTAGGTGGAGGGGACAGCTCTGGTACTGTTATTGGCAGCTGTAAGGATGCAGGGTGCTGAATAAGTTCCAGCAGTGTGCCCTGTCCTGCATCCTTCCCAGCTACCAGCAGAGTTTACCCAGTGGGCCGTAAACAAATATATAGTACCCCTGCCCATAATTGCATGGCCCATGCAAATGCTTTTCCCCACTGGAGGAGCCACAGGGTAGACTTCTGACACCCCTTGAGTTACCGTCATTCCTCTTGCTGAAGACTGCTGCAAAGGAATACATGCATACTGGGGGAAGAAATGAAAAGGGAGCAGCTGGAAGGAGAAAGCGGAGCAGTGAGGTCCTTTTTTTGATGAAGATCATTCTAGTGCTGTTCCTGCTGAGCTGCATAGTAAGAGGTCAGATGTCTCTTCTTACACATGGTACCCAAATGTCCAATGGTATTGTCTGCTTCCAGCATATCAAGCATGAGACTGCAAATAACATTAGTGAGGTCTGCTGTTAAAAAAGGTGAGGTGAGCTCTGTGGAATGGACCATGGGACAACAATGCCCTGCACCTGTGAAGCTCTGTCATCCAGTGGAACACAGTGGATTCTCCCTCCACTTCTCTGTGAGCTGCCCCCGAATAACATCATGCCTCTCTGGGGTTGTGCTTCTGCCTCTCCTCTGCTCTCTTGGGCACTCATGTACAGTCAGAGACTTCCCTCCTCATTGCAGAAGCCAACTTGGCAGTATGTTGTTTCTGATGGAAAATCGCTGCAAAAATTGTTCTCCCTGTCTGGTGTCCCCTCCTTCTGGGCTCTGTTACTCTGCTTCTCAACCTTGGAGCTCAATGCTGTGCATCATGTTGCAGCACATTTCTGATGCTACTTTCAAATAATTCAGCAGACTCCCCTGTGTCAGTTGGTGAGGCAGCGTGAACTTGTGGTTGACAAAGCAAAAGCTTCCCTTTGTTAGCAGCACAGCTCTGTATACTGTTGTATTCCATTTTAGTCCACAAAAGCACCACAGTGGTAGTTGTCTCACAGCACCATATCATTCATTCATCTCTTGCCATAGCGGTTAGTAAAACTAGGGAATCACCCATTAGCATCATGTCTGGGAGGCCTAAAGAAGAGACAGAGGTAATTTTAGGGCATATATATTCGAGGGCAACCAGGTCCTATGTCCACAGGCCAAAGGGGTGGTAGGCCAGCACCTTCTGCATTTATGGCAGTGGGTGTGCTATACAGCAGTTAACCAAGCCTTTATCATCCTCCTTCTTTTCCTCCCAGGCACAGGGTTTGAGGTATAGGTGTCCTTTTATCAAGCAGTGATACTGTAAATGACCGCTGCTCAGTTCTCCTGTGAATGCCTTTTATGAAGCGGTGTAGATAAGTTCTCCCAATGAAGGGAGAACGATCTACAAACACTGGAAAACGGCTGTTTTACTATAATCTCGTGAGATTACAGTAAGAGATCAGTCAAACACCATTTACTAAGCAGCGGTAAATTATCGCTGCTTCGTTTGTGGTTCCTCCGATTCTCCAGCTTGGGTTGGAGAATCTGGAGGGAGAACACAGATCGCCAGTGAAGGGCCGACATCGCTCCTTCATACACTGGCCATCTGTGTGCGGAGATGATCAGCGGACAACATGTTCTCCACTGATCATCTCTATTTCCTAAACCATAATGATCGGAGATCAGCAACGATCCTCAGGATCACCACTGATCTATGTTTCATAAAAAGGACACCATAGTTGGAGCATTAACTGATCTTTTTTTAATCAATCTCTTCTAACAGGAGAAGTATCCCATGATTGGTGGACAGCTAGTATTGTACCTATTGTGATATGGGTTCATTACGTGGTAGATTCATTTTTTACAAGCCATGTCAGTCCAAACTGTATTTAGG